GAGGTCTCGCAGGTGGAGGTAACTGAATCGGGTGACGAGCTGGCTCCTTACCTCCAGGGCTTCCCACCCTCCCTTATGCTTTGAGCAGGAGGAGAGGTCTGCGGTCCCGCCAGCCACCGCCTGGCGCACAGCCTGTGTTGGAGCGGAGCGCCCCCTGCCCCTGGCGGGGCCGTGGGCGGCGGGGCCGGGCTGGGGGAGGGGAGCTCCGGTGGCTCCTGTGTCCGGACCCCCGAGCAGACACGTGTGTCTCGCAGGGCCCTGCAGGTGTACGTGCCCATCAGGCAGTTCTTCTACGACCTCATCCACCCTGACTACAGCGCCGTGACCGATGTCTACGTGCTCATGTTCCTGGCCGACACCGTGGACTTCATCATCATCGTCTTCGGCTTCTGGGCCTTTGGGGTAGGTGGGGCAGAGGCCGCCACACACCAGGGGCGAGGGACAGGGGACCTGCGAGGGGCCTGGCCTGACCGCCTCGTCTCTCCCAGAAACACTCGGCCGCCGCCGACATCACGTCCTCGCTGTCGGAGGACCAGGTCCCAGGGCCGTTCCTGGTCATGGTGCTCATCCAGTTCGGGACCATGGTGGTGGACCGAGCGCTGTACCTGCGGAAGACGGTGCTGGGCAAGGTCGTGTTCCAGGTCATCCTGGTGTTCGGGATTCACTTCTGGATGTTCTTCATCCTGCCGGGCGTGACCGAGAGGTGAGGCTTTTGGGAGCCGGCACCCTGGGGCTGGGAAGGCAGGGCCGCTGGCTGGAATGTCAGCCGTGAGATGCTACAAAATCCTGAAGAATTAAGCTGATAAGTGGTTTTTCCTGTGGGTATCACTCCATTTTGCCCACAAACCCCCAGTGGCCGCCTGCAGTCCATACAGCTGTTCACGGCGGGTGTCGTGGCAGACATGGAGGCGGGCGGCTCTGGTCCCCGGGGATGAAACGTGCGGAAACCACGCAGAAGGACATTCCCCAGCGCGGGGCCTCCGCAGCGGCCCTGAGCACGGTCAGCGCGGTGACTTCGGGGTCTGTCGCTGAGCTGGCGCTTGTTCCAGGTTGACCTGCTGCGGCATCACGGGAGGGAAATTTTTCTTTAAATAAGTAAAACATGGGTTGGTCCTTTTATAAGGAGTAGAAGGCACCATGGCTTTAAGGCTTTGATGTAATTTTGGTGGATCTGGACGAATTCTTCCCCACGTGGTCCTCATCCTAAGGGTCTGGAAAGTCAAGGGACGTTTCCCAGGAGAGAGAACGGAGTGTCCTTTCCTGGTGTCCTTCCAGCGCGGACAGTTCCCAGAGAGACGAGGCTGTGCAGAGCCGGTGCGGGCTCCCTGTGGTGTGTCCTGGACACCTCGTCGATGCCATTCCATTCATTCACTGGGTCCTGAAGGACCAAAGTTGGGTTTCTCTGCAGGGGGGACCTTCCTAAGGAACATTTGGGGATCTCTGCCTCTGACGCCCACATGGAGGGCCCACAGTGCACGCCTTCCTGGCTTGATCTTAGATCTTGAGACTCAAGAATAGCTGTTTTCAGTTTTAAAACAATATGTTTCCGTCTTATAACAAAATTGAAAGTAAGACAAATCCAAAAGGCAACATGAAGAGTCATACACAGTTTGTGGAAGAAACGTCAGGTGTTGCTCTTAACGCTCAGCACAAGGAAGGCTATACCCCGGCCTTCCTGAGTCAGAGGGCTTGGCTTTTATTGTCCTTCTAATTTGTATGCAACTGACCACACGTAAGACTCACAGAATGTTGCATTTTTCCACAGTTAAAAATGATCTTACAGTTCATCATTCTTTGAGAATGTGTTCTGGGTTTTTCCTAGTATGAAATTTAGTTCCACTAAGTTTTTGCACAGACTTACAGTAGCGTTCATGAGCTGTACAACGCAACCTGCCTTCTGGATGTCTAGCAAAAAAATGGGGGTTCACTTCTCAGAATTCTTTCTTCTGCATCTTCCAAGCTGTGGGTCATTTCAAGTAAAAAACATGTTTTGAGTTTTTCCTTTGTTGAGCTTTGAGTCGGACCATGGTACCAGCATTATCCCCGTGGTGGGAGAATGTCTGTTAGCAAGTCCACTTAACCATCACTTACTGTGGCGGCGGCCTGAACAACTGAATGACGCTGTAACAAATCGGGGGCACATTCATGGGGATTTGTTATAATCGTAAGATTTTTCTGACCCCACCTTTTGCCTTTGAAGAGATCCACCACGCAGAGAGGCTTCACGGAGTTGACTTCAAGTGCCAGGGAGCAATCAGTTTTTTTTTTACCCTAAGTTAATGTCCTTTTGTGCAGGAGGAGCACTCCGTTCCTTCACCCTTCTGTGTTTTCGTGTCTCAGGAAGTTCAGCCAGAACCTGGTTGCCCAGCTGTGGTACTTCGTGAAGTGCGTCTACTTCGGGCTGTCCGCCTACCAGATCCGCTGCGGGTACCCGACGCGGGTCCTCGGGAACTTCCTCACCAAGAGCTACAACTACGTCAACCTCTTCCTGTTTCAGGGGTGAGCTGCTCTGGGCTGTCGCGGCTGCCCCGGCGGGGTCGGGGGGTGACCTGCAGCCGGTAGTCACCGTGGGGCTCCCGAGGGGTTTGAGGAAAGAGTGGAGGCACCTCTGAAACACCTTTCTCTGGGTGGCTTCCCCCCTCCCCAGCCAGGGTGCTACCCTGGGACCAGCCGTGTGGTTCGCTGTCTATTTCTGCACAATTACCATGATAGTCTTTGGGTGGAAGACAGGGGCAGGCGACCCTAAGCGTTAGCACACTTCTGGGAGCAGCAGAGCGGAGCGTGTGGACTCAGGGCTGTCCCAGCGCCCCCGGCGGCGTGCTTGTGCAGCGGGCTCGCTCATTGCAGGGGGATTAGTCCCACACTGAATGCCACCGGCCTGCTGGTGCCTGGAAGTGCGCCGTCGCCGCTCCCACGAAGCACGCTGGCTCTCCCGGGGGCCAGCTTCCATGGCAGCAGCTCCTCCCAGTCTCCCAGGGGTGATCCCATGGCCCTGAGGGGAGCACTGGATGTGGGGACCGGGACGCAGTCACAGAGGAGAGTGCGTCCCCACGCGTGTCCGAGTCTCACTGAGTGAAAGCAAGTAGCTCAGGGCAGAAGCCCACACTGCTGGGGGCCCAGGAGGAGCCCCAGCCTCGGGAGAAGCTCCGTGTCGAGCAGAACACAAGGGACAGTCCCCAGGCCTGAGAGGAGCCCAGGCCAGCTCACTCCCAGCTGAGACGGAAGGGACTAAGCCAGGGTCCTGTTAGACTTAGTCACCTGCCGTGTGCCCTGGACGACACTTCTGTCCCCTCCGCCTTCTCTCATCTGCCCTCATCTCACTCACAAGCGTGTGACCTTTCCTGGCTCATTCCCCGTAATTAATAATCCTGTGACCAACAGTCTCATAGCATAAAGTAATGTTAAAAAAAAGGTAGCGTGGAGTCTGCTGGCAGATTATGTGGTCCTATAGACAGAGCATCCCAAAGACCAAAGCCTGTTGGAACAAATCAACATTTCAGTAAAGTGGCAGGATGTAAAATCAGTGCACAGGCGCCATCTGCTCACCAGGAAATACCTGAAAAAGAGAAACCGGAAACTCTCCTAGTTGCAAAGCATCAAAAGTAACGCAGCGCTTAAAAAATGTATCTAACCAAAGAAGTGAAAAATGTGTACAGTGAAGGCTGTAAGACTTTAATGAAAGAGACTGAAGACCCCTTCAGTCTTACTTAAAAAGGGAATTCCAGTTTGTTGAGACTATCAGCAAAAAATAATTATTAATAATAAAAGGAAAATGCCAGCCCAGATGTTGGACTTGTGACGAAGGGCAGTTGCATTGCAAGGTGGGTTTTACCCAGAGAGGCATGTCTGAGAGTCGTGTCCGAGTCGTGGGGTGGGAACAGTCAGGGAGCACGTGGGCCCCGGGCTGGCCGGGTGCTGGGGCGGCCCCGAACGAGCCGCGGTCTCCCCAGGTTCCGCCTCGTCCCCTTCCTGACGGAGCTGAGGGCCGTGATGGACTGGGTGTGGACGGACACGACCTTGAGCCTGTCCAGCTGGATCTGCGTGGAGGACATCTACGCGCACATCTTCATCCTCAAGTGCTGGCGGGAGTCGGAAAAAGTAAGCCGAGAAAACGCCCGGGCCTGCTGGTGTCTCTCAGACGCAGACTGGCCAGGAGGCTGGCATGAACCTCCACAGGTCTGGGGGCCACACAAGTGAGGGTGGGGCGGGGGGCCAAGACTGCCAGGGCCTGCGCCTGCCGCGCTGACGTCCAGGGGCCTCGGACCTGCTGCGCCTCTGTGAGAACAGTGTTCAGATGGGCCTTTCTTTGGCAGCTGGGCATTGTGATTATTCTAAACAGAAGTGATACACAGCTGTCCGACCCAGTAATTCTGAAATGGCTCATTTGGGGGCAGGAGGGAGTGTGGTTTTATGGAGAAAAGGGGGGTCAGGTGGCTGGGATGCAGCTCATTCTCTGATTCACCCTTCGATGAGGGATGGGCGATGTAACCTCTTTGGGCAAAAGGAAATGAAAGTGCAGATATTTACTTATTCTCTGGGCTGGAAGTTAAGGTTTAAACATTAGTATTATTTAAGGAATCTTCCAAAAGTTCAGCACGTGAAACGGGAGCCTGTGGCACGAGAGGTCTAGAAACACCCGCGGCGCTGGCCACAGCAGCAGCAGGGGCCGCTTCCTCTCCTCCTGAGGACACCTTGCTGGGAAAGGCCCTTCTGGTCCGCGTGATTGCTGGTGTGCTCCGCAGCTGCCTCTGGGAGTCTCAGCTTCACAGTCCGGGGTCCCGCTGCACCGAGGCCTCTGTGTTTACGGGGCTTGGGGGTGTGGAGAGATGGGGTTGGGCTCATATTTAAAATCGTGTTGACTCGTCCTGATTTCTGAGGGGCAGAGTGTTGATATGACGACAGACTGAGAGCCTTTCTACCAAAGGGACACTGAGGTAGCAGTCAGGGTGACAGAGGTCTGAAAGTCATGACGTGAGAGAAAAAGTAGGAAGAAGCAGGAATTTTTCACTGAAGAAGAAAAGTGGGGGGAGGCCAAAACAGTAGGTGTTTTGAACAGTTTGAAATATTGAGAAATGGGTGGAAAATTTGAATTAGTGTGTGAGACTCGAGGAAAGAGAAGGCAAGTCAGCACCGTGAGCCCCCACGGGACACAAAGAACCTCCCGGTCATCACGGGGGGCCGCCTCTGGCGTGGCCGCCAGCGCGTCCGACCCACCGTCATGTGGGGACAGTTCCCGTGTGAGACCTCAGCTGGGGGGTGTCTGCCTCCTGCCCCAGGAGCCCTGTGTTCAGCAGACATGACGTCAGCTGTGTCCGCAGCTAACAGACTACTAAACTTGGCAGTTTAAAAATAGCCATTTGCCTGCTCATGATTTTGGGGTCAGCATTCCGGGCTGGGCGCCCCGGCAGCCTCGCCGGGGGGCGCTCCTGGAGCTCCTGTTTGGAGGGACGGAGCCCAGGCCAGGGGAAGGCAAGGGAGAGGACCCATCCGGCCCAGGCAGGAGCCGCGAGCGGGTAACTGAGAGTGGAGGGGTCTGAACCGCTCTGAGCTGGCAAAGAGAAGCCCAGAAGGAAAAAGAAAAGTGACACAATGTTGAGTGTCAGAGCCGGCGGGGGTCCGGGAAAAGGAGACTCTGGGGCACGATGGACAAGTCAGTGGTGGCAGGGGGCGGGCCGCCCCGCAGGGGGTTGGAGAAGAGGGCGGGGTGGCCGGGAGGGCTCTTTGGACCCCGCAGACCATCACAGGACTTGGACCATGTCGTCCCAAGTGAACTTCAGATGTTTTCCACCCTCCAAGGTGGGAGGAGTCAGCTGGAAGGCGCAGGTCTTGCGTGGTCAGGAATTTAAAGTAACAGGTCCTTTTCCGCTGCTCTGTTAGAGACAGAGGTTTACTCAGCAGAGGGTTTGATCCCTTGGGCTGCAGGTCCCCACACAGCCGTTTTAAGGACACGTCACTCAGGCCACAATGGGCCCCGGGTGCCACCGTGGAGACGTGTAGCAAGCTCCTTCCAGCCCCACGTCTGGTGGGGACAAGACTGTCCCCCAGCTCAGAGCAGAATCGGGGCCAAGTGCAGGCAGCACCCCGCCCCCGGGGCGGCGCCTGAGCGCGGGGCCCTCCCTTGCAGAGGTACCCGCAGCCGCGGGGGCAGAAGAAGAAGAAGGCGGTCAAGTACGGCATGGGGGGCATGATCATCGTCCTGCTCATCTGCATCGTCTGGTTCCCGCTGCTCTTCATGTCCCTGGTCAAGTCTGTCGCAGGCGTGACCAACCAGCCCCTGGACGTCTCAGTCACCATCACCCTGGGCGGGTACCAGGTAACGGCCGCCCTTCCTGCAGTCTCCCCACCTGCCCGCCCCGCCCCCGCTGTGCCCTGCTGTGAGGCCCACCCAGGGGACTCCCTTGGGTTTTGTGGACCCACGTTTCCTACCTGAAGGCTGCCTGTTCTGCAAACACGTGACGAGTGGGCTACGGGGCGGAGCGCAGCCAGGGGTGGCTGTGCTCTGGGCCTGGCCTGGGGCAGCCACTTCACAGAGGGGCCTCCGAGTGCCAGCAGGGCCCTCCCTGGGCAGGGAGCTGTGGGCAAGCTTTCCCTGAGCCCAGGAGGAGCTGGGGAAGGCTGACCAGTCCGTGCGCCTTGTTTTCCAGCCCATTTTCACGATGAGCGCCCAGCAGAGCCAGCTGAAAGTGATGGACCAGCCACAGTTTCATAAATTTATCAAAGCTTTCTCTAGGGACACTGTAAGTACCTGCATGTGGTCGGGCTCTGGGGGCCCGCCTCCCGGCAGCTGGCCGGCTGTCACCTTACATACTCCGTGCCGTGGCCGGAGGTGGCGGGCAGGACTTCCCAGGGTTATCGGCTGTGTAAGGCATGTTCCTGGACACCGGACGTTGTGACAACCTATAATGTCAAGTTTTATCCTCTGGGATGTAAGTGTTAATTAACATAATTTTAATTCAGAACGTTTTAATGTGAAGCACAGCACGTGTGGACCCTTGTTAAATTTTTAAATTCTTTCCATTGGGGCAAATACATTGATCCCTTTGACTGTGAGTTCTCCAGGAATCTGTCCTGAAAAAGTGGTTCAAACTCTGCGCAAAGCTCCCTGTTGCACGTACTTGTGATGGCATTTCCTTTATTAGTAAAAACTGGAAGCGACTTGGGGATTCAGCCAGTAGGGACTGGCTGAATGAATTGTGGCAGGGTCGTGAGGAGGACACAGCGCAGTGGCAGAGCGTGTGCTCGGCACGCACCAGGTCCTGAGTTCAATCCCCAGTACTGCCACTTAAAAAATAATAGTAAATAAATAAAAAATAAATACACCTAATTACCTCCCCCCCAAAAAAATAAAAATAAAAAAAATAATCATGACAGATTTTCCAAGCAACTTCCTTTGTAATAAGAGTCGTCACAAAGACTACATGCAGCATGAGAATTCCTCAAATTCTCAAACAATACTACTTATTTAATGATTAACAAAAACAAGATTACCACGCTCTACTGTGTGAGACCAGGGTGATGCTCTGGGGGCGGGCTGCGGCCAGCGCAGCTCCTTCCCCACTCCCCACGCCTTCAGTAACCTCAGTGACAGGGCTTGGCGTGGATAGCCTGTGCTTCACAGAGAGTGTTTTTTATTTAAATCGGGTGCATAGGCAAACATTTGCTTTTCTCTTGTGTAAAGTTACCACCCTATGATGGCGCTGTCAAAGCCGATCTTGACGGACGAGCAGCTGGGAGAAGGCCCAGATGTCCTGGGTGGATAGTGAGTCTGACTCTGGCAAGAGGGCCCTTCCCCAAGAGCTGATAAATTTCCTTCTTTCCAGGGAAGGAAAAGTGACACGAAATCATCTGACTTGTCTTTACTGCTTAATTGGAGGGACTCCGTGGCTGCAGGTGTGGCGACGTCACCCCTGGGGTCTGGCAGTGTGACAGGGGCTGTTAGCGCCCGGGACACACAGGCCAGCCTGTGACAGGAGCGTGCCTTTCAGAGGCGGAGGAGGACCCTCCGCACGGTCAGCTAGGAGGAGCAGGAACGCCCGGCTTTCCCCATCGTCCGGTGTCTGATCCATCTATGCACATGTGTTTGTGTGCACACAGGGTGCTATGCAATTTCTGGAAAATTATGAAAAAGAAGACATAACAGTAGCAGAGCTGGAAGGAAACTCAAATTCTTTGTGGACCATCAGCCCTCCCAGTAAGCAGAAAATGATACAGGAGCTCATGGACCCCAATAGTAGCTTCTCTGTTGTTTTTTCATGGAGTATTCAGAGGTAGTTACTATGTTTCCATGCATTAATTTCCCCCTTCCGCCAGTCTGAACTTGGGGTGGGGGCGGGGGCGTGGAAGGATGGAAAATTTTGATTAATGTGGATCTTGGTTGACCTTACTTCTTGGGAACACCCATTCGATGCTGTAACTGATGTCTTTGTTTCTTATTAAATAATGATTTGCCTGGGAATCATGGACAAAACTAAGACCCTCTTAGTTTCTTTTTTTCCTAATAATTTCAGTTTTGACGAGGCTGGCAATGGGCTCTGTGAACAAGGGAGAAAGGCAGAGGGAAAAGGAAGAGGGTGATGGCTCACAAAATGAAACCAAGCCGGGTAAATTGTAAGATTTCCCCGAAAGCTTGGAGTCTGGACTTGATGACAAAGAGCCCTGGGTTCTCCCTCACCTGCCTTCAAAGCCGGGGAGCCCCAGAGGCTCTCTCTCCAGGCGGGAGCTGTGAGCACATCTTGGCCATCCTGGGACGGGGAAGGGAGAGCCTGCCACCCACCCTGAGCCTCTGGCCACACGTGGCCACGACCCCACAGCCTTAGGAACCCTTCCTGCCTCCCGAGGCCCGAGGAGTCAGTGGGGCCGGCTCGGGGCCTGGACACGATACACCAGCTGAGCTTCACCGCAGGCAGGACTCTGGCAGTCACGTGATAGGTTCGTTTGGGTCCACAATTCCAGCTTCTTGGTTGGGATTAGGAAAGAATCACGATTGGAGAAAGAACTCCATCCAGCGTCTGAAGTGAATTTACAAGGAGTTAGTCAAGAGGTGTTTTGAAGGAGGCTACTCAGAATTTAAAGAACCCCTTTTTTAATCTTATTTTTCCTTTTAAATGTCATAAATTCCTCACATGGAATTCTGTACCACCGAAAATGCCCTTCCTAACCTTTCCTTGAAAGAACTACCAAAAAACCCAAGAAAACAAAAAAATTAAAATCAATTTCTGATTGAACTTTTTTTATTGAGCTGTGATTGTCATGCAACATTGTCTTAGTTCCAGGTGGACAACATAATGGCGTTGGTGTCCGTCTCGAACGATCACCACGTCCGGGCCAGCTATGCCTGTCAGCACACATAGTCACGAAAAAGCCTTCTCTTCTCAGAACTTTTCAAATAGAGTCTCTTAGCAACTTTCAAACACACAGTACAGTCTTATTAACCGTGGTCAGCACACTATGCGTTTCAGCCCCAGGACTTACTTTGTAACTGATAGTCTCTACTGTTTTAACGCTTTTCACCCATTTTGCCCACCCCTCCAACCCCCACCTCTGGCCACTACCACCCTGTTCTCTGTATCTGTGAGTTAGTGTGTTTTAGGTTTTGCATATAAGTGAGATCATATGGTATTTGTCCTTTTCTGTCTGACATACTCACTTAGCCTGTTGCCCTCAAGGTCCATGTGTCTTGTAGCAAATGGCAAGATTTCATTCTTTTTTATGGCTGAGCAATATTCCATCGTGTGCAGTGCGTCTTCTTTGTCCAGTCCTCTGCTGATGGACACGTGGGTTACTTCCACGCTCGGCTGCTGTAAATAGTGCTGCCGTGAACATGAGGGTGCAGGTGGATTTTCAAGTCAGTGGTTTCATTTTCTTTGAATAAATCCCCAGAAGTGGAATTGTTGGAACATATGGACAATAGTTGTATTTTTAATTTTTTGAGGCACCTCCATACTGTTTCCCTCTGTGGCTGCACCAATTCCCCTTCCCGACAGCTGTGCACAAGGGCTCCCTTTTCTGCGCATCCTCCCAGCTCTTGTTCCTTCTTGCTTTTTTTTTATTGATTTTTAATCATTTTACAATGTTGTGTCAAATTCCAGTGTAGACCACAATTTTTCGGTTATACGTGAACATATATATATTCATTGTCACATTTTTTTCTCCGTGAGCTACCATAAGATCTTATGTATATTTCCCTATGCTTTACAGTATAATCTTGTTTATCTGTTCTACAATTTTGTAATCCCGTCTATCCCTTCCCACACTTCTTGCTTTTTGATAATAGCCACTCTGACAGGTGGCATCTCATTGTGAACATTCTTTTTGAATTGTGGATTCTGTGCGTCCCTGTGGAGACAAATATCGTTGGGTTAATGAACAGTGTTTCAGGTCCCGTTAGGGCATCAAGACCACTTCTCTTTGGGTCCCCAGACCCTTCCTCCTCACCTGTGATCTGCTTTAAAGGTGTCTGTGGCCCCCCCTGAGTGTAACTGGGGTGTCTGAGAGGCCGGGTGTAAAGGGAAAGTGGACCTTCTGGTCGGGGTTCACAATTGTGGACCCAGTGAAGCCTTGATTAGATTAATAGAGAGTTTAGTGTGGTTTTAATCTCCTGCAGGCTTGTGAAGAACCCCTGACAGTGAGCTCTTTTTTTTCTTTTTTTTTCTTCACAGAAACATGAGTCTGGGTGCAAAAGCAGAAATAGCAACAGATAAACTTTCTTTTCCTCTTCCAAATACTACACGAGAGAATATAGCTAAAATGATTGCAGGGAACAGCACAGAAAGCTCAAAAACACCGGTGTAAGTTGATTGTTATTGTTAATACGGCTTTGAGGGGTGCATGTATCTGGTACAAACTGTCCTCTACAAATTTGTGTCCAAGAAATGCGATTTCTTCCTTCTTTGGTGACTCAAGTGGACGCGTGTTTAGTCCCCGAAGTGCTGTCAGAGCAAGTCGGCTTTCCTCCCGGCCGCTCGCCCGCACCACCCAGGGCAGACTGAGCTCATCTCCGGTGGCAAACCTCGCTCTTACCTGACCGTAGTCACCAAAAGCCAGGGGCAGACCCCGTGAGACCCCTCCCTACTATTACTCCCGCCCCCGAGGCACTGACTGCCTGGCTAACCCAGGGCAGGTGAGGGGAAGGCTGGGGGAAGTGGAAATTTGAGGGGAAGCACTCTTACTGTATCATCCTGCCACGCAATGCTGCATTCCAAGCATCAAGCTGGGAAGCTGAGATTCTAGTATGAGACCCAGCAGGAGGAAAAACTGCTCTTGAGCTCAAGCTGCTAAGTGAAGTGTTCCCGAGCCCACCAGCCACGCCAGCCCTGCCCCCGTCTGCCTGGCCCGGTCAGTGCGTTCAGAGTGGGAACCTCCGAGAAGCAGCCCTGAGCTGTGCTGTCCCGTGTTAACCACTGAACACAAGGGGCCCCTGAGCACCGCCAGGTCCTCCCCCATCGCTTTCCAGACGAGGAGACAGGCCTGGAGAGATGGACTGACCCGTCCAGGGTACCGGTCGTGCCGAGATGGGCTGAGGGCTCGGTCTCAGTCCTCCCCTCGCCCCGTCTCTGGGTCAGATCGTGCAGCCCACTTCACTGTAGAGAGCTCTGAAATCCTGAAAGTTAAAACTGGCAGGCTGCTCAGTGTTTTCTCCATAAGGGTGGTCACTGCCCCTTGCTTCAGAGAAGTCACAGGTGTGGGGAAATCCCTAGCCGTTTCAGGCCGTTCACCAGCCTGTGAGCAGAGGTGAGTGTCTGGTTAGAAGCCGGCGAATGTGTTCATTCACCGTCAGAGAATTCCGATGACAGTGGAAACCTAGACACTACGAGGGCTGCATGTTGCACAGCTATGTGAAGGCCCTGATCATCACTGGTGTGAAACAAGGTCAGAAACAGCAAGGAAACAGTCAGTTTCACGCGGGCTAAGCAACTAGACTTTAACTGCCTCTTGTCTTCCTTGATGCGCAGGACGATAGAAAGGATCTACCCATACTACGTGAAGGCTCCCAGTGACTCCAACTCCAAACCCATAAAGCAGCTTCTGTCTGGTAAGAACGAGGGAGCGATTTTAGCATCGCCCTCCAGCTCCTGTTCGTGGGCGTTTTCAGCCTTCGTCAGGTTCCTTTCCCGTTTTCTTCCCCCGTGACACGGTTTATGAGAAGTGAGGCTCCGGGCACGTCCACCGGCCGGAAGGGACCGCGCGCTCGCCCGGAGCCCAGGCGTCTCTCCCGCTGTTCGTGGCTGTGGAGCCTGGTGACTTAGACCCACATTTAGTCACTAGGTGCTGGTTGATCAGGATCTGCCTCCTTGTTTCTATCAGCAACCACGTCCCTGGCAGAAAACTGCATCATAACGACGTTTTATTGTGAAGGCCCCGCACTAAAAACAGTAAAAACGCAGCAGGAAATGGACTCTGTCCAGCCCAAGGGCGGCTGGGTACCAACACGGTACCCAGAGGCCACGTTTTCAGTGTGGCCGTTGCGGCACGTGGTGACCTGGTGCTGTTGGCTGCTGCTCCTCATCAGGCGTTGTGGGACTTCGGCAGCCACCTGGGCCAGACGAGAGGCTCCATCTGGTAGAGATGGAGCACGATGCGCTGACCAGCTCACGGTCGCCCGTTCACCACCGTGGGTCACTCACTGTCCCGAGTCGTGTGCCAGGCTCCGGCTTAGCTGGAAGGACAGGGATGTGAGGAAACAGTTAGGATGCCCCATGGAAATTGCGGGAAACAGAGGCCGGAAAGAGGGCCCAGAGGGTGATCAGCAAACAGAGAGCCCGGAGATGTGGTGAAATATGAGTGTCTTGAGAGGTCGTCTCAAGATGAACTGAAAGTTAGCATTTCCCTCCAGTCTGGAACGTGCTGGGAAGGCCTGGTCTGGCAGCACAGCCTGCCCCGCCAGCAGCTGTTGTCCCCAGCACTCCTGCCCGGCAGCAGGCCCCTCCCCGCGGCTTCATCTCAGCAGATGTCTCCTGCTGCCTTCCTCCTGGAGCCTCTCCCAGCCCGCCAGGAGCCAGGCCTTCTGCCTCCTTCCTCTTTCTCTTCAGCCTCAAAGAAAGATGTGCCCTTTCTCCCTTCCAAATCCGCTCTCCCTATGTCCCGGCCACCCCTCCCTGCCCTCCATCCTGCAGCATCTTTAATCTCCTCCACTTTACCACGTTCTGTCCCCACACTGGCTTGTCTGCCTGGGGGTGATTTGAGGTCCAGCCTACAAAGTCCTGTTCCCCGCACCACGCAGCCGAAATGCTCTCAGATCCTGCCCACAGCTCATCTGACGAGCTTTTCTTGCTGAGTTATCTCTCACCTTCTGCCCAAGGTAGACTTAGCATAGCTTAGTGGTCTCACCAGTGTATGGGTGAGGAAGCTGAGGCCTGGCGTGTGAATTACTCCGCTGAGCCTACACGACCAGGATGAGGGGGAACTGAGTCCAAACCTGGACCAGACAGCCCCCTCGGGTCAGTCTCCAGACGTCAGAACCAAGGTGTTTCCTGCTCCCGGGTGTTCTGCGTGGTTCACGTTCTTCCTGGCGGAGTACTTTATCTTTGCCAATTTCTTGCCATTCCTTTCTCCTCCGCCCGTCCGTCAGTCCATCCATGTCTCCTCCTGTCCATCCATCCAATAAACAGACCTTTACTGCCAGGCACCTTCATGGACTTCTCTGGTCCAGGAGGTTACATGAGATTGCGCGGACAGGTTCCTGCCCTCGCAGAGCTCACAGCCCCCAGCCCAGGTCCTCGGGGGGGGGGCCCTCTTATCATTGATGGGGGCAGCGTGTTCATACACAGCCCCACACGGGGCCACTCCAAGCTTCAGCATCCACGTCTTGTACTGTTTGCTTAGTGTATGCAGTCACTGAGCATTTGTTGCGGGGTTTCAGAACTTTGCAGGGCTTCATGCCAGAAACTTTCCCTGAAAGGATCTCCTCTCCCCCCTCCACCTCGCCCTGGCAAAGTCCTCACCCGTCCAGACCCAGCTCAGAAGTCGTCTCCTCTGGGAGCCCTCCCGGATTGGATCACACCAACCAGAAGTGGTCTCTCCGAGCGTGCAGACCTTGTCAGTGCAGGTCCGGAGGCGGTGCCACGTGCCCACGAAGAGTGCTCGCGATCCCGGCGTCTCCCATCCAGCTGGGCTGTGTGCAGCTTGCTAAGCCCTTAGCACTTCACAGAGAGCCTTCCTCCACAGGGACACTCAGTGGACGATGGTTGTATGAAGGAATCCGTCCATTCCATCAAAAGTCAGTTATTTGGGGTTTTAAACATCTAATTAGTTGTTAGGATTCATCAGCAAAGATGCTCCAGTGACAGGTCTTCTGCTGTCCCCTGTGCCGTGGCCACCGCCTTGGGTAGCAACAGGACTGGGCTCTAGGTGAACAAGGGAGACCCCCACGCCCGGCCCACCCCCCTCTCCACCTGCAGAGCTCACACGCCCAGGTGGCCTCCCCTGCACCCGATGCCGTGGGCACCAACCAGGTTTTGCCCCCGGGAACTGCTGAGGTGCACTGAAGCCTAGAGTCTCTCGCTAACTGGATTTCACACGTCTCCTTCTCCAGAAAACAACTTCATGAACATCACCATCATCCTGTCCAGAGACAACACCGCCAAGTCCAGCAGTGAGTGGTGGGTGCTCAACCTGACGGGGAGCCGGCTCTACAACCAGCACGCGCAGGCCCTGGAGCTGGTGGTCTTCAACGACAAAGTCAGCCCCCCCAGCCTGGGCTTCCTGGCCGGCTACGGGTAAGGAGCCGCGTGCAGCGAGCCGCCCCGAGAGCCCGCCTCCACCTCCCGCCCCGTGAGGGTGGAAGTCCTGGGCCTTCCCCGAAGGCTCAGTGTTATCGCTGGTCCTCGGCCCTTTCGTTATAAAAACTGAGGAGCCAGAGCCCCACGGGAGTCAGGGTGCCTCGTGCGAGTCGCCCCGCGGAGGACAGGCCCGGAAGCCGCAGTTCCAGCTGCTCTACTTCCTGTTCCGGCACAGCCTGGTGCGATTCAGAGTTTAAACCAGAGATTAAGTAGAGTCGTCTCTTCTCTGCTGATTTTTCCTTTTGACCTTCGTAGATACGGGGTTAGTTCGAAGCCCCCGCTTTGGACAGGCCTGACGTTAGCACTCCACCAGGGTCTGCCCTAAGTCCCAGGACAGGCACAGCCCTTACAAGACACTAACAGAAACTTTCCCATTTTGCAGAATGAGCCCTTAGGAAGTCCTTCTCTGTCCAGAATTGAATTATAAACATGAATCTCTGAGAAAGACAATATGGTTACAGTGAAAAGTCCCAGGTACAGAAAAGTGAAGGAGGTGCAGTTGCATTTGTGTCACATACACGGTGTAGTTTATGGTATAACGCACGCAGCACGGCCACCTGGAGGTCATCCAGGACGCTGTGGACACTGCTTCCCGTCCCACAGTCCTGCGGTCCTGCACTGCGGAATTTTTTTTTTTTAA